GCAGATTTCAAGCATCTTTTACAATATAAATCAATCAAATTTTCAGACTTCGTTGAGGCTGACTTGGGTCTCAAGGCAGCGAACCTGATGTTAGGCTGCTGTGTGATTGTTTTGAGAAACAGTGAGAACTTCATTTTGTCTGCCATTCCTGCCAGAACAATTGGTTTCTATGATTCTCCTACTAACCTTTTCTTGGCAGCCTGCAAATCATTGTCGGACCATATCCAAGTGGATGCATCAACAATAGCCATTGGCTGCTGGAAGGGTAGGTCGAGCTTGAGCGTGATGGTTACAGCAATTGACTGCCAGGAGCTGCTGGAAAGGCTTTCGGTAAGCATGGAGACTGAAAAGAATGAAACTTTGGCAGCACCTGAAAACCACAGTGAGCTAGATGAAAAACAAGATATGAGCGGTGAAAATGGAATCTCACTGGAGGAACACAATGTTGTAGCGAAGAAGATACATAATGAATAGGAACACCAAACAGTTGAAGTGCCAGACTTATAGATGAAATATTTTCAACGTCGCATGTGTACGCTTTAAGCAATTTTCTTAACTGCATACTGCTAGATTGAAGAACAGTGAAAAGCTTTGATTGTTTCCCCTTTTTATTTTCTAGCAACTGCAAAGGTTATCATCATCATAGGTAGAGATGCACATAGCCGGATTTAAATCCGATTCGGATAAAAACTGATCCGGTTTTTTCACCAAGCCAAAAAACCGGTTTATAAAAAAACCGGTTCGGATCATAACCGGTTTGGAGGGTCGGATGATGTAACCGGTGTAACTGGTTTCGGTTTGAAAAATCCGATTTTTTAAAAAAACCTGTTTTTAATCCGGTAAAAAATCCGGTCATCCAATTTTTTAAACCCCAGACCGGATTTTTTTCCGGATAAAAACCCAGTTTTTTATCCGATTTTTTTCAAACCGGTTTTTAATCCGGTAAAAAATCCGGTCGTCTAATTTTTTCCCAAACCGGTTATACTATCTGGTTTTAAAATATCCGATCCGGTTTAAAAAAAACCGTTTTTTTTCCAAATCCGGTTTTGGATATTTTTTACGTAAAATCGGATATTCGGATTTTTTGTGCACCTCTAATCATAGGTATAAAGTTACCAATAACTTCTGCAGTTTTGGCAAGCCATTTCCATGTTCTAACTCAAGTTATTTGAGGGAATTCTTGATGTCATATATGAAAGAAACTATAGCTTATCAGATAACCAGTTCCCTTGACGAGAGCGTCAGATCAGACTGTACAAAGCCGTTACATAGCTTATTTTCAAGTAGGATTCAACTGCTCTAACAATTACAGACAATAATCATAAGTAAAAACTAATCAAATCCGGGCAGCTGATTGACTACTTGTAAGTAAGACACATCTAAAAGGCTCAACTAAACCGCTCAAATTTAAGAAAGATGACCGCTATCCTGCTGACCACTATGCCATGCTTGTTAATACAGAACCGTTCATAAACAAACGTGCTACCACAAGCACATAATTTTGATGTTAGGCCAAGATTTGATGCAAATGATGACCCGAGGATCCAATACAATACAATGCAATAAGTTATATCATCTTTGTGGAAAAAGGTGACCGGCAACGCATTAAGGTTCAACTGAGGTCAAGATTGAGATCAATCATCCCAAATCTGTTGCACCCAAGGTTGATGACACAATGCTGGCCCTAACTGCAGCAAAAGCGCAACTCATATGCCAAGGATGGCATTGCTCAGGGCATGTGCAACCACAAAGCTGGGGTTTGTTGAGGATGCCTCCATTGGATCTTTTGTTCCCGATGAGCACCTTCACAAATATGGTTATGCTGCGGACCCTGCAGGAAACAACTATATTGGTAATTTGGATGCTTTGCAGAAGAATGATGCATTTCAGTCTATAACATCCCACAACATGAGCAAAAGAAGCGGGGAATTGAGATGGAGGAGGATAAGGTTGTGGGCAGGGTTTCAAAAACCGGTCCGCGACAGCGATTTCGTCCGCGATATAACGGTTTCGCCGCCGTCCGAGTTACCCGCGACGGCCGTAGCGTCCGTGACTACCGCAATCACGGTAAATCCGAAATAACCGAAAACGTGATTGCGACCCCGATTTGAAACCCTGGTTGTGGGTGGAGAGAATGAGATTTGACCCAACAGAGTTCGAGAATCCATATAGTGATGTGTGGTTGATGAAGAATATAAAGTCTCCTTGGGCAGGTTAAAAAGAGGGATTGCAAACAGAGTTGACCGAGGAGGAAAAGAAGCATACAGAGGAGTATGCAAAGAAGAAATAAGAGGAAAGGTCATCTAGGTGAGAAAGGTGAGTCCGTGGTGGATAAGACTACTTTTCATGGAAAAAAGGAGAGAGACTAGCAGGGAAGGTCTTGGATTGCTCCTCCTAAAGATGAAAAAGAAACAAATGATCATTGTTACATTCCAAAGAGATCGATACATACTTTGAGTGGGCACATGAAGGGTGTCTCAACTATCAGGTTCTTCCTCAAATATGGCCATTTGATTCTCTCTGATGATTTTGGATGTGTTTAATTCAGGCAAGTGTACGAGGACATACATGGGCCATTCAAAATCAGGGAGAGAGATTTCATACTGAATTGTGTAGGATTGTAGTAAAAAACAGTTGCAGGGGGGAATGCTTCCAACAGTTGTTAGTTCCACTAAAATGTTTCTATAACATATTCCTACAATATTTTATACTGCAAATCAACTCCTCTTTGACAGGAAGCTGGGATTGGCATCTTGCATCAGGTTTTTATTAGTAGATAGTAATGAAGTTGAGCATGTCATAATCTGTAGTTTTATCAGACACACTACCTTGAAGTCTGTACCCTTCATTGAGACCAATAGCTTCAGCCAAGAGAGAAATGCTCTACTATTATTTGTACTAGTACGTTATGAGGCCTTTCCTTCATTGTCAAACAATAAATAATATAGCAGCTCCTGCATATCTATTCTGCTACTCAAACAGCCCTATCAACCATAATCCACCCAAAAAAAGTCTTTGGCTTTGTTGGCAATTCCTCTAAATTGAAGGAAATATGTCATGTTGATGTAAAGATATTTTGGTATTGTCAGGCCTTAACATATGCTTTTAGTTTTGGGCATAATGACTAGAGATGAGCGTTCGATCGAATCGAGTAAAAAAAAATTCAAGTTATTGAGTTCACGAGTCCTATTTTATAACTCAAACTTAATTTAACATTTTTCGAGTTGATTAGAATTTATAAAATTCGAGTCAAGTGGAGTCGAGTTGTTCTGTTTAAATTTAATTGTAAATATTTAAAATATTATAATACTATTTTATTCCAATTTAATTTTTTTATAACCATATAAAATACATATATATCTCTTCATTTTTCCATATGTGATATACATATATCATACGGAGTTGAGGGAATTGACTCAAACTTGAAAACTAATCCACTAATTAGTACAAAAATTTGAGTTATTCGAGTTCTATTTTATAACTCTCGAATTTGAATTTTTTATTCGATTTTATTAAATTAAAACTCGAAGTTAATTTGAGTCGAATTTTTTCAAGCTGAAAAGATTGTTTTTTTGAGTCGAGACAAGTTTTGCTCATCTCTAATAATAATAAAATTATCTCCAACTTTTGTATAAGTGATCACTTTATCCTCTATCTTTTGGAGTATTTGAGCCCCAAACATTTCAATTTTTGGTCAAAATAACTTATGTTGAAAGAAAACCATTAGTTAATTAACAGTCAACATATGCTCACACGATAATTATTCACGTGTTTAATTGTTAATGTGACACATAATATATCATCATTTTAAATGATATAGTGTATATCATATCTTTAATTTAGATAAGATGATATATATATCACATCAATTATAATTTAATTAATAATTAAATGACTAGAGTGTATTTTATCCATATATTTAACACATCAGAAAGTAAACATAAACTCATTTACAATGGAAGGAGGCCCAACCCAAGAAAGTCACATCGGTTAAATACCACGGAAACTCGGAAAGGCCCAAGACCTCTTTTTGAAAATTGGAAGCATATATAACCCTCGGCGAAGGGTCACCATTGATCATCTTCCATCATCGTACGGCTATGACAGCATGAGCAAAAATCCTTTGTTTCTAATAGAAGTTATCCAGTGAAGAGAGTACTACTAATAGACTTGGGAGACTCTTTCTAGAAGAATCGACCAACAGAGATAGAGGGGGGGGGGGGGAGGAATAAAATAAAAATGGATGAAGAGGAGCATGAGGTGTACGGTGGTGAAATCCCCGACGAAGGAGAGATGGAGGGCGAATTGGACCCTCAAAACGCCGACGTCGACATGTCCGCCGCCGATGAAGATGCTGTCAAGGTACTCATTTTAAAAACAAATTTAAAACCCTAGCTCAAGACCGTCCTTTATTTATTTTTTACTATAATTGCTTGATTGTTGTAGGAATTGGATGAAATGAAGAAACGGTTGAAGGAGATGGAAGATGAAGCGGCGGCTCTACGTGAAATGCAGGCTAAGGTCGAGAAGGAAATGGGTGCTGTTCAAGGTTTTTCTTTTCTTTTCTTTTTCGTATTTTTGTTTGTGAATATTTATATGATCTGAATTTAGTATAAAATTATGATGTTAGGGTTTATGAATTGGTTCTCTAGATTTTTATAATTTAATTTTATAATTCCATCAAATCTGAAACTTCAAAGTTAATTTTTAAACTGAAAATCATTTCATTTTTTAGAAAGTGATTATACTGTATTAGTAGTTTATTGATTTTACTAGAGAATTCTAACAGGGAGGTATAGCCTGGATATCTGTTAATTTTATCTATATTTCAAGGTGCTGATCGTGTTTAGATTTTTGAACCATTTTTCTAATTTCAACCTGAACATTTATTCTAAAAAATATCACTTTTTATCACAGATCCTGCTAGTGCTGCAGCTAATCAGGCGAGCAAAGAGGAAGCTGATTCACGATCTATTTTTGTTGGCAATGTGAGATAAATAATGTCTTTCTTTCTCATATTTTCAAGGGTTGGCCAAAAGCTATTTTTCCTTTACACAATATTGTACTTAAAGATATCAAAAAATTGTATCTGTATGCTAAATTTCAAAAAAAGAAAAAGAAAAAGGAAATAAGAGGGAAAAAAGAGAAAATGAGGGGGGAGGGGAGAATTCCTCAAATATTTCATGGAGAAAAGAAGGAAAGGAAGTGATGGAAGAAGACGTTGAATGGGAAAAAAGTAAAGAAAATGAAAAAAAGAGAAAAGAAAGGAAGATTTTGGAAGAAAATATATATGGAAAAAAGAGGAAAATATCGATATGATGGAAACTTTGATTAGTTTTATGTGATGCATGTAGAAAATTTGTACTTGAAAAATCAGGGAGTTAAAAGAAGTATAATACCAGCCCCTGAAAAGTGTAACTGGGCTTGTTTGGAGTGGATGAATGGAAGTACCATGTTAACTTACATACTTAAACTTCTTTCAAGGGATTTAGTTTTCTTGTTTTGGCGAGCTAAGCCAAGTCAACAAATGCTCTCTAAGATGCAAGAACACCGTTGCCGATCGTTGGAGTATGAGCCTCAGAAATTTGTGGTCATTTTGGCTGATGTGGTGAGAGGCATTTGTTTGCTTCTTTGTACCATTAATCTCTTGTTGCCTGTTGTTTGTGTAAATAACCTTGTTCTTATTTCTCATTGTTAGTTGTTTCTGTGATTTTTCCCCATTTTAATCCTTTTTCCCTTATTTTTTAGAAAATGCATACTGCTAAAAGCCTAAAACTTTTCCTTTTCATTTAAGAACTTGATGCATGGATTCTCTTCCTGGATTTCCTTTAAGAATTGACTCTTAATTGTTTTCTTCAGCTGGTGGATCATAGTCGCTAGAAATTGTATTCTATAGTAAAAGAAAAAAACTCTCAGTCATCTATCTTTTTTATAAAAACATGATTTCATCAGTCTGTGGGTTTTGTCTTGTGGATGTTGTTTCCCAATAAAAGGTCTTGATCAGTCTGCTTTTCCTCAGTATCATGTTTCCTTCAACATTTCTTATTTGAGTTACCCTTTTCATTTTGAAGTGCACAACGGTCTTCTTGTTTTTTTTGCTGCTTTAATTTTATTGAATACTGATAAAAAATGCGTGTTATAAGTAAATACAAGGCTAGATGTTAAATAATTAGCATATGTAGCAGGCACTGCGTATTATGTATTGAATTATAATCAACATGATAACAAGATGTAAAATGTTCAAGTTGCTGTTGCTCGCCTAATATTTTACGTGAAATTTGTTGAGCAGGAAGTGCCAAATTTGGGCTTTTTGCATTTTGGTGTTTATTAGTCCTCTCAAATTAGAATTTAGTAGAAAGAAACCATGTTTGATTTACCGTTTTAAAGAGTTTAAGTAATAAGAGTTGAATGATGGCATTGCTAAGAAAGATAGATTTTTGAGTGCCTGAAGATGATTCACTTTGATAATTGAATGTGATGTTTCCTAGACCTTGAAGAGAACATGTAAATGGCCTGTTTAGTTAGCGTACGGTGTTCTCATTTCCCGTAGCCTTGCAAGGTGTAAGGTGGAATTATCATGATAACTACGCAATGGTGGTAGTATTTCTTTTGTACTGCTGACCGACTAATTTATCTTTGAAAACCTTGGGCTGAATTTTATTCTGCAGGTTGATTATACATGCACACCTGAGGAAGTGCAGCAGCATTTCCAATCTTGTGGCACTGTAAACAGGGTTACTATTCTGACAGAAAAGTATGGTCAACCAAAAGGATTTGCTTACGTAGAGTTCCTGGAAGCAGAGGCTGTTCAAGAGGCTCTGGTGCTGAACGAATCTGAATTGCATGGCCGCCAGTTGAAGGTATTATGTTGTCTTTAATATCAAGAAGCGTGGTGTTTTGTTTCTAAAAATGGAGCCTGTTGGTCTCGTATGATGCCATTCTGAAACATAATTTTGGTATTCCTTGTGATAATTTAGGTTTTGCCAAAACGGACTAATGTTCCAGGGATGAAGCAGTACTGTCCAAGACGATTCAATCCTTATATGGGCTACCGGCCTAGGAGGCCCTATATGCCGCCTTATTTTTATTCTCCTTATGGATACGGGTGTGTTTCTTGTGCATAGTTTCTCTTCCCCCGGTTCACAAATTAGATCCATTATATTTTTCTTACTATGTTGTCCTCGTTGCAGGAAGATTCCTAGATTCAGGAGGCCAATGCGGTATATGCCCTACTACTAGAAGACTGAGTTATTGAGAGTTACAGTGGTTTGATGTAGGAAATATAATCAGGCATTTCTAGTTGATATATGCAATTTGAACCATGTACTATGTGGTGTATGACCTTTCCAAAGTATCCGAATTGTTCTAATTTAATAATTTCTAAAGAAGTACTGTGTAGTTGAATTATTAGACTATTGTTAGTTGTAGGGTTAAGCAGTGAACTGACTTCACTCACTTTTGAAGTTCTTCCTATCAAATCTGTTCTACTTCTATTTTCCATTTCTTTGTTCTAATTTGACTTTTTTTTTGCAAGAAATTTAATTTCTGTCTTCGAGAAAAAAAATATGAACAATAAGGAATCGCTGCAACACCTCTCTTTTGCCCTAAACGAATGGAGCCACTAAGGAATCGCTGCAACGCATCTCTTTTGCCCTAAACGAATCAGCTCCACCGAGGCACAATGGCTGGACATTGTCTATCAAATGTTGTCCATACCTACATGTTGTCGCGCAGAGTTCTCCGTGGGAGGCTTCCCTTAACAACATGATGTGCTTTGTGTTTGGTACTAGTTATCAACTGGGATCATCAAATACTGAAACTGAACAACTCAGCCAACCTACTTGGTAAGCTTAATTGGTCTGATCATCTTCCATGGTTTGCTAGCTTAGACATTAAAAAAATTCATTTTATTTGGGTTATGATTTGCAATGGCTCCACACCAAGTGCACTTGAAACTGTTCCGTTTGTCAAAAGGTAGGGTTGCAACCCACATCTCCAGCATGTTGTTTCTTTCGCCTGCTGTTCTGTTGAGGAGAGAGAGAAGCATAGGAGAGAAAGGGGAAAAAAGAAAAAAAGGAGATTGAAAAAAAGGAAAAATAGTTTTTTTTAGGAAAATTTAGTCCAAAAATCTAAGCAGATTAATTATTTGATCCAACAGGCTAACCCAAACATTAATTTGCGAAATACGATAATTGTTATAGCACAGAGCAAGTTCATCACGTCCACATGACGAATTTGCTCGGATATCATATTTTAATGGACCCAGATCTGAGTCATATGAGAACAAATTATTTAATATATTTCTTGAACTTGTCAAATCCACGTAGCGAGTTCTTTTAAAATATAATAATTTTTTGCATTATAAAATAATTATATATTTTTAATTCATGGAACTTGTCATCTGGGTGTGATGAATTCTATTTGGATTTAAAAGTTATAATCGTTAACTGAACATTAGGCAACAACCATATTCTGATGGTCATAAACAAATAGTCTATTGGAACTCGTCATGTGGGGGTGATAAATTCCTTGTGGTTGTTGGAATTGAAACTATAAATAGTAGTTTGGAGGTTCAAGGTTTGTATTGTGATTTATTGAGAAGAAAAGCAGTCTAATGAGAGAAAAAAATTATTTTTCGAAAATTTTGTGAAAAAATGTATACCCGAGAATAAATGCTTGATTAAGTCCATATTTCATTATTAAATTGACTCCGGTAAGATTTATTTCTTATAATTTTAAAAGTTCAAATCATAATATTGATGTTGTTGTTTTGAAAATTTATTAATTGTTTGAATTTTAAATTGTAGAAAGAAGAACGAGACATTCTTCATCGAGGAATGAAAAATGTTATGCCACACCAGCAGACTATTATTTATCTATAACAATCCATATTGTATCTTATCATATTTCTTCATGGTTTAGGGTTTAGGGTTTAGGATTTAGGGTTTAGGTTTTGATTGAATGTTGGAGACCCGAAACTCATACGTTTCACTTTTCTAGTGGTGAAGCGACGATTATTTTGGAAGATGTGGCTTACCAACTCGGTAGTCTGATAAATGGTGTGACATTGGTGAGACATAAAAATTGCAAGCGGGACGAGATTTATGAGCGATTATTGGGAAAGGTGCTACCGCCAGATGTCACATATGGGTTTCGGATACGGATGACGTGGTTGGAGAGTGAATTTCGAGTGGATGAGTGTTCTACCGAGAAAGAGGTCATGCATGCATCCCAAGCATATCTTCTCCAATTGATTGGAGGGATATTGTTACCGGATAAATACGGGAAGTTGGTGCACTCAATATCTTCCACTAATGAAAATATTTAGTAAGTGTCGTCAATATAGTTGTTGTCGACACTCGTTTTCATCCTGTTTAATATTTGTATTATTATTATTATTTTATTTTTTGGCAAGCTTATACAAAACCCAAAATGGGCCCAAATTACAAATCATTCGGCCCAAACAAGGAGCCCAATCAAAGTTAAAACCGGGCTCATTACACAACCCCTACTTAGTTAGGGTTTCTAAAACCATAATCTAACGCAACCATCACTAGCCATCGCCACCAGGGGAAGATTTTCCACCACCATTTTCCCCAATCAGTTTTTGTCGCCCGTCTCACCCACTCCTCGGCCACCGCTGCTGCCACTAATTGAAGCCCCTGCACTGTCAGAAATCCCAAGTCAGTAAGCAACAAGACCACAACCAAACCCACACGCAAACAACCTCTTGTAATCATTTCATAGCAAAAATCATAGAAAAAGAAGTTGTAAAATCGAAGTTATAAAACCTCGAATATTGGTTGTAAAAAAGGCTTTGGTTTTTTCAGTTTTGAAAAATAGCAAATAAAAGTAAAAAAAAAACAGAAGCATTTGAGAGGTATTTTTACTTTTTTTCTTCCAATCTCGAGGTATAATAGAAATAACAAAGATAATCGAAGAAAAAGAGGGAAACGAGAGAGTGTTACTTTTCAGCCGTGTCTCTTGTCGGTGCTAAGAGGGTCGGCTCGTAGATCTGAACAATGAGAAGGTGTCATGTGTCCCCGAGAGAAATATACTCTGGAATCGAGGCGATATAACGACGGACCGCGGAGATCCGGGCGGTGGAAGCCGAGAGGTCTCGACTTATTTCGTGGCATTGGAGATCGTTTTTCACAAAACTGAGCCCGGATTTGTGACGACTACGTTGAGCTGAGCCTCCTGGTGGCCACCGGCAGCGGCAGCGAGCGCTAGATGGCCGACGATGGGCCAGGCGACCGACGATGGGCCGATTTCTAGAGAGAATGGATAACTTCTCTCTCTAAAATAAAAAAATATGAGAAAAATGAAAAAAAAAGAAAAAAAGTACGTTTTTATAAAACCAGTTAGGGGAAATTGCACTTAGGTCACCCTAGCTTGCACGTGTTTTTGCAGAATGGTCCTGTGTAGGGACGATTTTCTTTATTTACCCATTTCTGTTTATACTATATAATTTTTGGTTTATTTGTTGTTTAGTCCCCCTACATTAGTCGTGTTTTTTGTATGTTAGTCACATGTAGGGATTGTTTTGTAATTTACCCACTTTTATTCATATTATTTATTTTTTGTTTTAATTTCCGTTTAGTCCCTGTATGTTTAGCGTGTTTTTATAGTTTAGTTATGTGTAGTGACTATTTTTTTTAAATACTTAGGGATTGATTTAGTAATTTCCACTTTTTTATTTCGAATGTATATTTTAGGCTAGAAAAATGGAAGATTTAGGAAATAACTCCTGTAGTTTCTACATGTTTGTATTTCAAACCTGAATATGTTTTTTAGTTATTTTAATTTGGCAATGCAATTTTAATTTAGTCCTCATGTTTTATTTAATTTTATATTTTGTAATTTTAGCACTAAATATTAAAAATGCTCATTTTAGTCACTTTTATAATTTATTTTATTTTAATTTTGGCATGATGGTTTGATTGTTTATGTTTTAGTCCTATTTTTTTATTTTATTTTAATTTTTGCATGTTATTTCATTTTAGTCCTTAATTAATTTTGCATGTTATCCTCATAAGCATCACTTGACTCGAATCGAAATATATTGACTAAGGGTAATATTCAATCATTTTAATATTATCGTAAAAAGACTGTCTTAACCTATAAGAAAGTTACTTTCAATAATTTTAAAATGAAAGTCTATCTCATTTAGTGACATGAATTAAATCGAATTCATTTTAAAATTTAGGGATTGGGAAAAAGATCATGTTCTTTTAATTAAATTCATCGAGAAAAGACTGTTAGATCGAATCTAAGGTCTCGTCTCGATATATTTAAATAATTAAACATTCTTATTCTCATTAAATATTGGTAAAATAAATAATTAATTACTTGCTTGATATGCTTTTAATTTGTTTTATTTTTGCATGTGTTTCCCAATAGATTTTCAAAATAATAACATTTGAATTGACATTGAGAATAATAATATCTTTTCATTTCAGTCTGAGTAATAAATGATTGCTTTAAGGTATGAGATGTCATTTATTATTGACTGAAAATCATTAGATATTATCGTTTTCAATCTAATCGATATTGAATTTTAAGACGAAATAGTAATATCTCGTTATTTCAATTGGGGTAATAATTGATTGTTTTAATGCACGAAAGGTCATTTATTCTCGATCGAAAATAATTGGATATTATTATTTCCATTCTTAAAATTATTTTGGGTGTTGTTATTTTGAATTAATAGTGAACTTTATAATGAAATTTTAATATTTCTTTATTTCGATTGGAGTAAGAATCAATTGCTTCAAGGTATGAGAGATTGAATCTTCTCGATATGAAATAATTAAATATTATTATGTTTCATCCAAAAATTCAAAGAATATTATTTTTAGGGGATTTTAAATTAAATTAGACTCGAACTTGTAAATTTCATTGCAAAACAATTAATTAATCTACTAGATACCGATTTAGGGCGCTGTGGGGGTGCTAATCCTTTCCCACATGTAACCGACTCCCGAACTCAAATTTTGGTAACGCAGATCGCAAGTTTGTCGTTGTAATTAAGATTAATATTTTATTAAAATGGTAAATACTTTCTTGGGTGCCCAATCACACCCTAATCAAATATTAGCGACAACTCCTCGAACTACGTTTTATCATTAAACGCTCACCTAAAAATTATTTCGAAACAAGACCCTATTTTCCCCCTTCGAAAAAAATCGTTTCGAGCTTGGCGACTCCGCTGGGTACTTTTTTTTAGAGGGTCAGACCATTAGTCGATTAATTAATTGTCTTTGCAATAAAAATTACAAGTTCACTGTAATTTGGTTTTTGATCCCTTTTTGGTTTAAATAAGTGCTTATAATATGATTAACCACTAAATAGTTGTACTGACGTGTTTGATAGTGTTTTCAGAGTGAATAATTTTTTGAGTTTATTTTGAGGCTTCTGTTTGGTGTTTGTTTTGTTTTCGCTTTTTCTCACACACTGCACAACCACATTTATATAACATGAGCTAAAACTTCGCTCCGTCCTATTTAAGTAGGAGTGAGAAGTTACTCCCTCGTGTGGTTTTCACTTCCGTACGGGATAGTGGATCGCTCCTAGGGTTCACGCCTTATGGTCATTGTGATGGTTTTCACCTCTATATGGACATAAGGAGGTGTGTCCCCTCGAATTGAACTCGATCTGAAAGCTTGTGATGGGTAAGGATTGAGGGTTCGGTAGCCTAAGGGGGCACGAGCAAGGACAATCCGAAGACCTCTTACTTTAGAACCGAACCCAGCATGTAGTAAACTTAGAACCGAGATAGAACCTTACCCAGTTCATTAGAGTTCCATGAGGAGAGTACACAAGGAAAAGATTATTTGAGCCTTTTAATTTTTGTAGTGTAATTTTGATTGCTAAATAAATGTATGCAAACTATCATGCGGTTAGGTTTAATTTTTCGAATAAGCATACGAACTAGATGACATGATTTTAGGATTTTCTATAAAAGAAGCATGTGGGTAGAAATCTTGTTTGGGTAGGACCAACTAAAGCATGATTGGGTAACCATCATGTGGGGTAAGTTTTATCGATAAATTATATTATATCCGATTAATTAATTTATAATTACTGAATAATTTTCTCTTGCCCTTTTGTTTTATTTGTGCTCATCTTGCATTGCATTATTCATCCTATTGGTGTTGATCTGTAACCTATGTCCATATAGAAGGCTAGTAATATGGAACGAAGGATTCAAAAATAGGTAGAGGACAATGCAGATATTCTGAGATGGTCCAAACAGTCCCAACTTACGAATGGAGATAGTTTATAGTTTGGGTATGTGTCAGATTTGATTGGGTACACTCACATCAATGTTCGTCAAAGTGATCCAAGCAAGCTGAAAGAGATTTGGGGAAAGTGGGAAGTATCCGATAAGCAGTTATTTTTACCAACTCTATGGTGACATCTCGTATCTCTTAGACATTCCGATTGACTGAAATATGTTTAGAGCTCTGGCACAGTTCTAAAACCCCACTTATAGTTGTTTTACCTTTGGTCGAGTGGACCTAACACCTACCATAGAGGATTACTATGCCTTGATTCATTGTTTGAGATTCCAAGTTGACAAGGTGTACACCAAGCCACCAAATACTCATTCCTTCAAGAAAAAACTGCTCCAGATGAACAACATGAGTGAGGAGTGGGTCATAAGAGGCATAAAAAAGAAGAGAGATAGCGAGTGCATCACCTGGACCGTTCTGAGAGAAGTGATCAACCATCATCCCAAAAGACGAAAGCAAATTGACCTATTTGCTCTAGGTATTTATAGGTTAGTCATATTCTCGAAGGTTCTGGGGCACGTTGATGTATCAGTGGTAGATCTGTTCGAGAGACTGGACCGACATATAGATCCCGTTCTGTTTATCTTGGCCAAAACCTTCCACTCCCTGAACTCTTGAAAACGAGAAGGAGAATGACGCTTCATAAGGTGCGTATCACTGTTGTTAGTCTGGATCCTCAGTCATTTCAAACACGTCGAGAGGGAACATGGTCGTATGTTTCTGGAAGGATTTTCACCTTTGAAGGATTTTTTTCTCGAGATTGGCCTGGGTTTCACTAAAGAGAAGTGGATGATCATTTTTAAAGATATCCAAGATGGTTATATATTGTAGTGCGCTTCATGGAATGTCTCCTTAGACATTCTGTATAGATGTGGAGAAATAGATTGGGTTTCGTTGCCAAGCATATGGGGTTTTGTGGGATATGCTCCGTTATTGGTTTCCAGGTAGTATGGGTTGAGATAATTTATTTCAACAATGTGGGATTTATCCGAGTCTAAGTTTGTTTTTAGAGGAGAGAAGTACAAGAATAAAGTCAAACGGGTTGCCGATGCATGAAGGCACGCTCGTTGAGTAAATCTCTTTACCTTCGAATTAAGGTTGTCACAAGAGTACAATGAGTGGAGAAGCAACAGAGTTAATGATAATATCCCGATGATTAATCCCGAAAATACTCAGCATATGGAAGAACATCTCAGAGTGGTACAATCTCCACCTAAAACAAGTCAGGCTTGATTTTGAGGCTGAAAGGAAATAGTGGAAGGAGACGTAACAAAGATTGGAGGAGGAGTCATACTAGAGAAGCTTAGAAATCAATATCCAAAAAGGTCGAGCTGACCGAATCGAAAAAGTAGAGAAGCAACTCAGATTGGACTTTGATGATCTCTAATTAGCTTACCAACGAATAGTCAAGGCTCATATGACCACTAGCTCAAGTAAGTCTCTTGCTAAATGGATACGAGAATTGGAAGGTTTAAAAATAGAAGTCGGGGAAAGCAGTGAAGAGCTCAAGCAGAGTAGACACCAAGCAAAGCTACTTTCAAGAGAAAAGAGTGCTTTAGAGCAATAGCTTCAAGAGAGTCGAACCCAGAACGAGAAATTAAAGCGTAGAATATTGAGTTTAGAGATAACTTTACGACGGTACCGAAGTCGAGAAAGCAATTCAAATCGTGCGGAGGTTGAAAGCTTGAAGAAGCGTGTGATTGAAGTCAAGGCCATGGTTCAAAATTTTCAGAGAAGAGCAAGTGAACTATCGATAGTCCCCTATGAAAGAGTTATACAAAGGTGTCATCGTTGGGAACAAGCTTAGTAGAGAATTAAACAAAAGGATGAACTCATCGTGAGCTACCTATAACATGCTCAGTGAGTAGCTCAACACTTGGTTGACTTATCGCATGAAGCTGATATTGTAACCAAATGGTTGGAGCCCGAGACTAAAGAAGCTCATAGGATTCTAGATTTATTGGGGCACATCCATCAATTAGGAGAGAAAGCTCAGATTTATTTGTGATATGTCTAAGCCTTGTAACCAAACTTCGTTTCTAATATAAAAAGTTATTCTAAGGAATCGGTCCAGAATCAACACCATGCATTACATTTACATTGAATTTATTGTTCGCACTGCATTTTATTCATTAATGGTTATATTTTTCACATTCTTTAATAAAATATTAATAAAATGATACTATGGCAGAATTTCTGATAGTTACCCGTAGCGTGTTTTTGGGGAAGATAAAAAACAATGAATGAAATATTAGCACGTGCTAGTAGGATTGAGAAAATCCAGGAGCAACTCATAAAGACCCAACTAGAAATGATTGATGAAGCAAGAAAGTCCCAAGTTGAGTCCAAGGAACAAATGTCCTAGTTGATGAGCATGATGATTACAATAATATATGGGGATAAATTGTTAAAGGATCCTATTATACAAGAGAAGATGAAAACTTTCAGTGAAAATTTGAATATTGGTAGTGCAACCAATGCGGTGACAACAAATGATTAAGAACCTGTTGGGGAATGTGGTAATCCAAGTTAACTCCAAATATCGGGCATAATTCCAGAAAATGTGATAGAGATCATGTTGGGAAAAGCAAAAATTGAGGGTGAAACTTCTAACACGAAAGTTGAGCCTGACTCAAAGAAGAAAGGCTTAGAGGACGTTCAAATGCTAGTAAAGAAGGCTAAAAAGAACAGAAAGAAAAAAAGAGGACACTTCTTGTTCCGATTCCAAACTCATATTCGGACTTGTTACATTTTCTTTTCGAAAGAGGCATCCTAACGCCTATTCCTCCAAATACTTATTTGCGTCTAGATTGCCAAGGTGTCAAAAAGTCATACGACTATCATTCTGGTGATCTTAGCCACTCTACAGAAAGTTTTGCGGTCATGAGATCAAAAGTTTAGAACCTTATTATGGAAGGGTTGTTATGCTTTGAAGATGAAAAACCAAAGCTCCCTCGAAGCTCAAAACTTATCGATGAAGGGAGATTTGCAAACCAATGTCTCTCGTAAGATGTTAGTCAAAAGTTGAACCTTCAAAGTAAACATCTTGATGATCAGTCACAAGGTCTTCATGATGGTGACAAGGAGAAAGCGAGGTCAAAAGAGCTTCTACTCAATTTTCCTTCATTTTCATACATCAAGTTATATCCCAAGTTGTTCAAAGCCCAATTGATTACCCCACATCTGGCTAAGCTTCTACTGCCCCCTTATCCGAGTTGGTATAATGAAAAAGTTTCTTGTGAATATCACGTCGGAGCCCGAGGACACTCCATCAAGAATTATGGTAACTTCAAGCAACAGGTCCAAGATATTTTGGCTCATAGAGTTATAGAGGTGAATGTTAACAATCATTCTGTTTCAGTAAAACAATTGGGAGTCAGCCCCCAGAATGGAGTTGATGGGGTCAAAATGAATAAAATCCATACGAAAGAGGACGTAAAAAAAGAAAAGAGCAAAATTAAGGAAAGCGAGGTATGTGAGGCAGAGTTAAAGGATTCAATTATCGAGACTTCACTGACGCTAAAAAAGAAGAAAGAGGTGGGAAATGATGAGAAGAAAATTAAAAGAGAAGTAATTCGAGATTGGCCACAAAAGATGTCTTGGAGAAATACGACCCTTAGTGCCCATTTCTAACTTGTTATCCCCTCTAATACAAAGTCAATACCTCACTCCAAGGCCTTTAAGAATAAAAACTAGACCTTCTTCTTATGGCTACGACCCATATAGTCCTTGCGATTTTCATCTGGGGGCATTGGGCCGTCACAATCACAAGTGCATACCATTGATGGAAGAGATAGAAAAACTCATTGACAAGGGAGTCCTGACACTAGAAATGATTGAGAAATAGGGAGCAAGTGAGTATAAAGACCCTAATCCAATTGGACACCCACCATTATAGGAGAAATAGGGCATTCTGGCTGAACAAGTGAAGGTCGTTCTCCACCACAATCACACCTTATGTTTGCAACATCTTGTTTGAACTTATTTTTTATACTTTCTCAGCTTTCTTTTTGTAAGGATATTTAAATGAATTTATGCTACTTTAAAGATGGTGAGCATTGAATCAAATTTGTAATCTTGAAATTCTTTAAATATCAACTGAATTAAAATCTCTTTAATAGAGTTATGGATCTTTGACATAGCGACAAGATTGAAAACTAATAAAACATGGACCTTTGACCTTACCCAGAAGATACCCTCGAATACCATACATTTTTCTTGTAGGGACCAAGCTAGCATTCTCTCTGCATGAAGAGACAATTAATGGCTTGGCCTTCAGGTATATAAGGATGTGGACAAAATGGGGCATATTGCACATGAGATTGCAAAGCTGATTGGTTTCTACTTTTTTTTAATGACGTTCAACGATGATCATGATCTTCACAGATGGAATAGTCGAGTAGGTGAATCTAGTTTAGGTCAGTTGCTTGCAAATTGAACTCTAAGGATGAGATTTTCTAACTTTCAACGACACCTGGACTATAACAGATTTTTATTGACAAGCTTAGGAAATTGAACCTGTATACCCATAATGTAATTATATGTGTATACAATAAATCTTGAGCTATCCCTCTAGAGCAATTGGTTAAACACCCTGGCTTTATGGATAGATTCAGCTAGCCCGATAAAGGCGATTATAATATATACAAT